TAATTTAATACGCGGAAATGACTGAACTGACTTGCATGAAATTTTGCACACAGATGGCTGATGGTTGAAAAATAGGCTACTTTTCTTAAGAGTTGCCACCTGCTGAAAAAGTTTAATTAATATATATATTATAATATACGTAAACGACTGAACGGATGTGCATGAAAATTTGCACACAGATAGCTTGTGACCTACATTGGAATATAGACTACCGTTTTTTAAGAGTTGCCACCTGTTTGAAAATAAAACTTTGCACACAGATTGTTTATGACCTGGATTGAAAAACTCGCTACTTCCTTACCCGGTTTCCCGATCAGAACGAAATGTGGCACAGTTACTACGGATTTCATTAGGATGGTCTTATACTCACAGAGAAAAATTGACGTTTTTGGAAAAGAGGCGTAGCACCTCTCTGGAAGTATTTTAAATTTGTTATGGAGATATATTTTATAAGTGCCGTACTGACAAAAAAAATTGCATTTGATGGAAAAGGAAGAGCCGGTTTCGGCCTTATAATCTAAAGCTCTCATGATGCACCTCTTCAGGCATTTAGCTACAGTACTGAGAAGTGGTATTTTATCAAGGCCAGGTTACCAAATTTGAGTTGGAAATATTAGAACCCGCCGTGGCACTTCGAAGAAGGTTACACGTTTACGCGGCATATGCCTGGAACCATTTTAAGGTAAACTTAGAGGGATTGATAACTTTCGTAAACGGCTAAATACCTTAACTTGCTTAAATATATAGAGCTATAACAAAATGGGCACAAAAATAAGTTATAACATCATTAAATTATTTTTCATATTTGTATAAAAGCGTGGGGTGAAAACCGCGGTTATAAGCTAGTATCAAATAATTTGCAAAATTCGAGTCTATTTCTGAGCACATATACATATGTATATTTTTCTATGAGAATAATGTAGCTGTATATTAATTATCAAAATTTGAAGAGCGTAGCTATTCATATAGTATAAAGGAGTGTTCAAAATCTAATAATCTAAAAATAAAACTCTAGTTAATATATATTGTAAACGCCTTAATAAATCGAGCCCTAACGTAAGCGACATTTTTTTCAAAATTTTCTTTTTGATGCACAAATATTTCTAGAGCATCTAGACGCACTTCTGCATCAAAAATAAAATGTTGAAAAAAATGTCGCTAACGTTATTTCGGCGGCTAGGGCTCGAAATAATTAAAAAATTAAAAATAAATAAAAAATAATAGGAAAATAAGCGACTAAATCGGCCACCCTTTATGCTTATTTACCTTTCTCTTTTAGCTTATGGAATTTTTGTGCATTTACTTGGTTTTTTTTTTAATTTATTTTGTTTACCTTTTGCACAACTTGTTTGTGAATATATGTATGTATGTATAGCTGGTTTATAACTTAATTAGAGATTTCACGGTTTTGACAAGCGTAAAATAACCAAATCACATGTGCCAAATGACAAAAGCCAACAACTTATTATAATTATATGTGTGCAAGTGTATACGTATGTACATGCATATGTATATATAAACCAGATGCTAGGTACAATTTTTAGAAAAGAATCGCTTGCAATTTCAATAAAATGCAAAAAAAAAATTTATTAGATTCTAGGCACCGTATGAACTATGGTGTACGCTTATTCGCAGTGTTTCGAAAACCGGTTTTCGAGTTATTCACTACAGTAACACTTACTATCTGCTAGAAATCATAACCTATATTACAATATGACTGCTGAACCAGACCGACTCTACGAATATAATATATTATAGACAGGCTTTTCATCGAGATTAAGACAATGGTCTTTGTCAACTCTCACCCGTTGAATTCCATCGTCGGTAACCGACACCGCATATTTGAATGTTGTAGCAGGTTAAACTGTTTTCAGTCCGATTTGAATAACATCGCACGACACACAGTGGGGCCGAAATCCAAAAGTGCGGCCAAAATTTAAAATAGGGACTTTTCATAACTCAGTTGGCTAAAGGAATCCTCTAAGAAGCAAAATCTATTCACTGTAACGGCATGTACCCCCAGGTTCCCTCTTTATTTTCAGTGGGAATGTGGTCTTCGCCCAAGCACAACATTTTCATAGATTCAAAGAGGAAAGTTATAAATATATAAGAGTACTTTCATTAAAGGAAGTCGAACAAAACCAAATGGGATCTACGTTTGAAGGCTAGTAAATTACGTAAACATTTTGTGAATATCAACACTGTAACAAAATTTTTTTTTAGGAGTAGATAGCAATATAATTTTTGTTTTGGTTTTTTTTTTAACGACATTTGAGTTGTTAAATTAAACAAAAACACTTAGAAGTAAACTTAGAAAAGTATTAGCTACTGAATAAAATACTTAAAATTCGGCTGCCCAAATCTGCCTCTAAAATTTTAATGTACTTTTTTTAACACGCTTACACATATTAGCTTCACCTGTATGTAAAAGTTTCAAGCTTTTTAATAAGCTTTCACACAAAGATTTTGAGTATGCAATTTTGTAGCCGATTTAATTTAAACAATAAAGTGCAAGTTCAAAGTAGCTGAGGCTTGCGATTGATTTTTGTAAATTTTTTTGTTAAAGGTGTTGCTCATTTTCTTCATATCATCGAACATACATATGTACATAAGTATGAACTTCGTATGGAAGAAAATTACTGGCACTGTCAACAAAAAAAAAAAATATCAAAAATCAACGGTAAGTCCTAGCTTCTGCAAATTTGCACTAAACTGCATACTCAAAATCTTTCTAAGAAATCTAATTAAAAAGCTTGAAATTTTACAGGCGATATACTGGATCCCCATTTTGAATTTTGCAACTCTGATAGCGGATTCGTAAATAGCGACCCCCAAAACCCGCTAGTACGAAATTTCGAATCATTTCTTGAAAGCTTCGAATTTTGCCCGCTTTCTTGGATTTACGGCGCACTCTGCGACGCCCTATGGGGCAAAAAAGGTTGCTGTGGACAAATAGAATTTTAAGAGCCCAAATATGAACCGATATCAGGTTTCTTTTTTTTCATAAAAGATAATTAAATTTCGCGTCGATCTATCGGTGGCGAATTTTTAGAAAAGCTCTGGTTTTTTATTTATTTATGTTAAAAAATTAAAGAAAAAAATTCCACGTTTGAATGCTTCCACTTTTTTGGAAAATACTTGAAATTAATTTCAAATGTCTGCAATTCTTTAAAAAAATATTCATAACCATATTTATACTAATATATATTTTGAAAGCCGTTTGTTCGCTTTTTTTCTAATCGAAAAACTCGAGAACGGCTGTGCTGATATTATTGAAATTTTGGACATTGACCCTAGGACCCTCAAAGGATGATAAAAGAAGAAAAATAATTTCGATATAGCAAGGGGGCGAGGCACCCCCATACAAATTGAAGTTTTCACACAACATATCTCGGGAAGTATTCATCGCAGAGTGCTGCAACTTAGTACAGAGATATATAATATCAACGCCAAACTCATGGATAAAAATGGGAGTTATTGAAAAAGGGGGCGTGTCATCTGCAGAAGAAATAATAAATAATAATATCCTTAGTTGGTGTACAACAGAGCGCACTTTATTGGCTTTGCATGCCTATAAGCTAGCTCTGAACAATTAAAAATGTTGCAGGAGATACCACACGAGTGAGTAGAAATTGAAGTGGAAACCTTGTGTGTGTTCCAACTCTTAGCATGGTGGCTGTGATTGATACTCCAGGGAATCAAATTTTAGCCATGAAAATAAAAATGTTTAGACATATGTACATATATTGAAATCTTCAAACGTTTTTTTATGAATTATGTTAACAAATATCAAAGATGTTAAATATTTGGCAAATTTTATGAAGAAGTTTGAATGCACATTTTATAAGTTTTTTTTCTTTCTTTCTTCTGAGACTAATTTTTGTGACTATGTACTTATTTATATTTTCTTCTTGATTGGCGCTGTAACCGCGTAAGCGTTCTTGGCTGAAAAAAAAAACAAAACTATGTCCATGGCTCTGCGCACTATATGTATCAGCACGAGCATTGAGTGACTTAAAGAGTGATTTATATACGACGAGAAAGGACTTATTTTAAAATTTTCATTAAAAACGAGCAACGACTTATTTAAAGGTTGAAATTTTGAAAAATTTGTTTGAAAAAATTTTCTACAAATTTTAAATTTTATTAAAAAAAGTACATTGAAATTAAACATACAAGCTGCATTTAAAAAATGTTTACCCTTCAGAGGCACACATTTGATTGTTTATTCAAAAAATTATGTTTTTATTTCAAAAAAGTGTTAGAAAAATTATTATTTTTTTTTTTCTATTTACATAAGTATGTGTATTTAAAAATAAAAATTCTTTAAATTTTATTTTGATTTTAAATATGTACATAGTACATAATATGCTATTATTTTAACATTCCATGTTATACACCAAAACTTTTTTTTAGAAAATAACATCTAACTTTTATCACGTTGGTATCTATAACATTAGATACTTATTTTATTAATAAAAGAAAGTCGATCTTCGGAGGTCTTTTCAAATCGGTCCAGCTAACGTAAATATTAATATTTTTTCTGAAATACAGCGACAGAAGTCTCAAACTATAATATCCAGATTTTATAATACCGATTATTTTTTTTTGTATGGAGAGTGATGCAAACTAATGTGCATAATTACATTTCAAAATCAAAAGGCATGTCTTGCTTGTACAGCTGTGACCATGTCATCACCAACAAAAAAAAAAGGAGAAAAATATGGTGGTAAATAATTTACTCGTCATTACACACGGACAAACAAACAACCCCAAATCGCATTACCCGCAGAGGCAGGCAAGCGCAAAAAAGTACATATGAAATTACATATTTTCACTTGTATATTTGCCGATAAACATTGACTTAATTATTTACTTAAAAAATATTTGTAAATACCTATGAACATATGTATGTATGTATAAACCTCTTTTTTCGAGCAATGCATGGCCACAAAGGTTTTAAATATGTTTGTAATTTGATTGTTATATTTTAATTGCAGAAACCACTCGTCGTGCAATTGCATATTTTTCAAATTATTGAAAATTCAAAAACACACACACACATAGATACAACAAAAACACAAGGAGATGCGAAAATGTGTGCCAGTGTCATAAATCAAATTAACACCGCCAAACGCATTAGCAGCAACAGCAGTGGAAAAGGCAAAAAAATCATTAACACAGCCAGCTGTGACGTCATGAACAGCAACAACAACAGCAACAACAACAACAACAGCCATATGCAAGCACTTGCCAGCAGTCACCGCCTTCGTTGTGAGTTCACTGCCACAAAGCGCGCCAATGTCCGGCTCAAGTTGTGGCCGCTGTCGTTGCCGTCAACGTCGCTGCCGCTGCTACTGTTAGTGGGCGCATCGCTGCTGCTGTGCGCTGCAAAACCGACTAATGCCGCCGCCACCGCCACCGCCACCGCCACTAACGCCAATAACAAAAGCGCACGCGAAATTATCAGCAACACCAGTGCGGATGAAAAAACATCGAATCCCAAAGTAGCAACAGGCGTTGGCGCTGTCGGAGAAGCTTTAGTAATAAGCACAGGTGAGTGTGTGAATAAATATAGCAACATTTTGTTTTGTTTATGTTTTGAAGATTCCGGCTCAGCAACTCACTGATTCTGATATTCTCATTCTTTTGCTTGGTCATTAACGCAGCGAGCTTTGCGCTAAAAAAAAAAAACATACCCCACCTTAGCCTCTTCCAACAGTAGCTTCGGGCTTCGGTGTTTTCTGCTTTATCATTAACACCAGCGGCGGGCCCAGCAGCAATTCTTGGGGGGAAGAGGGAATTTTTTTCAACATATATCGTGTATATAAATTTAAAAATCACCGCATTTTAAAAGTTTTAAAGTTTTGAAAGTTTTGATTTTCTTGAAGTTTTCCATTTTAAAAAACTTGAGTGGAATTCCAAAATTTACTAAACTTTCAAAACTTTGTGAATTTGAGAAATTTTAGTAAATTACAATAATTCAATATAATGATGAATACTAGAATCCTAGAATTTTTTATTTTTCGAAAATTTTGAAAATTGTAGGAATTGTAGGAATTCTAACAAATTAGTAAAAAAGTAATAGTGTCGAATATACAATATTGATCAAGCGAAATTAAATGTGTTTGAATGTTGAAAACATTTTCATGTTTCGTCGTTTTTGAAAATTTAAAAATTTTCGTAATTCTTGAAGATTCAAAATTTTCAAAAATTTAAAATTCTCAAACTTTGCTACATCAATAAAAAAAATTTGGAAAAGTTCAGAAAAGTGGAAAAATTTTGGATTTTTCAAAAATGTTAATATATTTTAGAACTCTAAGAATTATCCATTTTTTAAACACCAGTACCATGAACATAAGAATTTTTCAACAACTTGCGATGTTTCACATTTTTACATTTTAGGATGGGTTTTAGAATAAATAAAATTCTCAAAATTTTGGAAAATATAAAAATTTCTAAAATCTCAATAGTTTTGTACATTTCAAAATATTCTCATTTTACCAAAATTTCTAGAATCTCCCGGATTTCGATAGTTTTTGAAATTTTGGAAATCATTCTAAAAATAAGAAATCTCAAGAGATTTAATAATTTTATAAAATTAAAAATTTTGGAATTTTTGTTGTTTTCTAAATCTGTGAAAATGTTCAAACTTGCTGTGACTTTAAACTGTGCAAATTCAAAAATACAACAAAAAAGTAAAAATTTATAATTTTCCTAATTCCCCCCCCCCCCCTGCCCCACCTGGGTCCACCACTGTTAACACAAGAGATTTAAGTGCTAAAAACATGTAAACAATGATAACTGGAGATTTATAGTAGTTTTATTTTGGTTTTCCCAAATTGTTTTGTTTACCAGTGATTTTTTGGTGGGTTCTTTTTCTGGTCATTCTTGTACGGGTATTTTTCGAAATCTCATCCGCTTCAGAACTATTAATATCGGTAGTTAAAGCAGCTGACAGTTAAATTATATACCTACATATGTATATATACATATGCATACATACATATGCATTTAGTATAAGCAAAAGCATAAAGGAATTCTAAAAGTAAATGTGTTATGCTAATGAATATCTTTTATTATAAATATTTTTTTTTTCCTTTGATTAATAACTAATTTGTAATCCATTTAGTTATTTGAACTTGAAATTCATAAAGAACATAATTTAGATTTTTTTTTCTTAAGCAAGCTCGGGGCGTTAAATTACTCAAAGTTTTAGTTTATTCCGCGCTAAAAATAAAAACCCTCATTAGCAGCTTTTTTGTTTGCGGTTTTCGTATACTAATTATAGCAGTGAACAATTGACTTGAATTAAAGATTTCGGCGAGGAAAAAATTGCTTCGGTAAATATAATACTAGGGTGATTGTCCCGGTTTTTTTGGGATCGGTTTCCACCGTTTTTTTTTTGGGAAATCTATAGGCGGTTTTTTTTGAAATATTTATTTTTCGAATTCGAATAAACCATTTTTTTTATCGAACTTCATCGAACTTTCATTTCATCCAAATCTTGACCTCTGAATAAAACTATTAGGTTTTTCGCAGTTGTGCAGTTCAAGGCGACCATTGTCTCCCGAGTGGCGGGAGGCATCTCTAAGCACTCGGCTGCGACGGCGGCAGCTAGAGCTCTACTCAAAACCGAAATAGGTCAAGAAAAAATGCATTCAAGTATAAAAAAAGGACCAAAGGCGAATTTTTCACAATTTTTTTTTTTTGTTTTAATTTTTATATAAAACAATTTTGTACTCTCTTAATAATAGCTACACTGCCGGCAAAAAGTATTGGCACAGCTGCTTTTTTACAATATACGCAACAATTTTAATTGTAATATTTTCCGCCAATTTTTATAATAATATGGTTCATTCTACTTTGTGCAAAACTCACGAAATTTCATCAAATTTTCATGCAAATTTTTACTTTTTTAATCAGATTTTTCAGCATTTTTTTTTGAGTATGCAGATTTGTAGCCCGGTCAATTTTATTGTAACCATAATTTTTATTGTAAAGTGGAAGTTCTAAGTAGCTATAAATTACCATTCATTTTTGGGAATTTTTTTTTTATGCAGTGTCTTCCATACAAAAAAAAAAAATCGAATAAAATGCAAAACACCTTCAACAAAAAAAAAAATCTCAAAAATCAATGCGATTTTTGACTAACTCCAAGCTTACATTTTTTATACTAAAATTTAATGGGCTACAAAACTGCGTACTCAAAAAAAATCTAAAATATCTAATTATAAAGTTGAAAATTTGCATGAAAATTTGCCGAATTTTTGCGAGTTTTACACAAAGTTTAGAAATTATATTTTTGTGTTTTTTATTGTAGAATGAACCATATTTTTATAAAAAAAAGCAGCTGTTCCAATATTTTTTGCGGGCAGTGTATTTTTACTGTTAATAGTTTTATTGTATTTTTTCGCCATGGCCTCATACCAAGATAAGCATTTTCACTGTATAAAAGCTATGTAAAATAAAATCGGTTTATCTGATTTTTTCTTAATTTAAAATCGGCAACCGGTTTTTAACAATTGCAATTTTTCGAATAACTCGAAACTCGGTTTTAGAAAAAAGCGAATAATCGAATACCCTAATAAATACCCATATAAAAACAATAGTGATAGCGATGAATATTTCAATAATTATGTATATCGATAAATTACGGAATTTACGGAAATAAGACTATACCGTTTCTCTAGTCTGTCCAGGCAGAAAATTCTCCATTAGAATCCCAGAGAGGAACGAGTGGGAAGGTGCGACAGACCTATAACAACGACTATCTATACAATTGTTTCTGAGCTAAATTAGAGGACAAGTAGCGCGATTCACTCCATGGAACTCTCACTAAACCTCAGTTTTCGCCTTCCTGACCACTGTAGAGTTTTTCAGGCAACACTAACCGCAATAAAGGACGAAGACCTGTAGCTCATAGCTTCCGATCCCTCATAGCGGCTTATCACGATCTAGGTATTCTGACGGCGGCCATTAAATCTTTAACATCCAGCGAAACAACGTCCAAGGTAGACATTGATGGCAGAAGGGCTTTCAACCAGTTCCGAAATGCTCCTTAGCCGGTTATGAGTCCCTGGACACAGCGATGTTCCTGGTAGTTGCACGACCGACGAGATGGGAAGGAAAGGAACCACACGGCTGTCTTATGAGCATATCTGGTAAGAGGTTAGGATATTGAACCAACGATTTTTGTCGCAGCCGCAGAGAAGTAAGGAAACTAACATCTCTGTGGCCAGTAGTATCCCAACGGGACGATTTGCAGCATCCGTGCTTTTTTTGGGTATTGGCAGCTACTCTAACCTAACCTAATCTACATTTATATATTTCTTTTATAGACAATCTCAGAATTCGAATTTAAATGGGCATCCCACTATTAACTATGAAATATTTGTTGTCCAACAGTTATATGTAGATTTTAAATATACCCGAGAATGGTTCTCGAATTCTTCTTCTTATTTGGTAAACCCAGCAACCTTTGTTATCAAGCTGTCTGGTATTTTAAGTAAAAAAAGTAAAAATTTTTTTGGATCTCCATAGTATCCTTTTGAATAGGTGTAGTTTTTACTCGCTTCTTTATGAAGTCTGATTTATGCTCTCACATGGTGCGCTCATCTGGAGGCCAGCGCTTATTAAGGATTACATAAAAAAAAACTCAGCTGGTGTGGAGGCTCTTAACGTTCGGTTCGAACTAGTAACGATAGATCTTTAAGCTACTCGAAAGACAAACCGTTCGAGCACAGCCGCATCAAAGATAGACTACTATCTGATATAAAATGGCTGTCCATCGACTATATCATACCAATTATAAGCTACCTTATGGGCTTGTTGGCAAGAGTGACCCTCCGTTGTATTTCAAGGCTGATAGTATTGGTGATTTGAATGCTGGTTCCTAAGTAAACGAAGCCGTCTACTTTTTCAAACATGTGACCGTCAACCTTACCCAATCTGGAAAAGGCACATCAGATTTTGTGGTTTTGGTTATAGACAATGTCAGAATTTGATGTCATCAGCTTAGGCCAGCGGTGATAAAATGTTTCCGAGCGATTCAGTTCTGCGGCTCTTATTATATTTTCCAACATCAAATTAAAGAAGTCCCATTAAAGAGAATCTGTCTAAAATATCGTTTGGTATTAAACGGCTCGGAGAGGTCCTTACCAATTCTGACGGAACTGGTGGTATTGCTCAACGTTATTTTACACAGCCATATCGCGGGAATACCAAATTCAGACACCGCTGCATAAAGACAACTTCTCTTCGTGCTGTCAAAAGCGGCTTTGAAATCGACAAATAGATGGTGTGTGTCAATCTTATTCTTGCGGGTATTTTCCAAAGATTTGGCGTATTGTGATCTATGGTGGATTTTCCAGACCTAACGCCACACTGATAAGGTCCAATCAGTTCGTTGACGGTGGGCTTCAGTCTTTCGCACAATACAATCGGTAAGGCCTTATAGCCTATG